TCCATCAATTAAAAGAATGTGGAGGATAAGGACGTTAAAGAGTTTAAAGTTCTGCGTTCACCACAGTTTTAAATTGCATTGTGTATCCATGGGCTACAACTAGTTGTGAATAAAATCGAAATATTTAATAAATAAGAATAATATATATTAAAATAATATTTAAATAGGAAGAAATCGTAGAACCGTTGCCCAGGACCTTTTATCCGTCCTCCACAGATTACGTTCAATCAAGAACAAAACAAGAAGCCACGGTGGTGTAATAGTATCCATACGGACCAGCAGTAACCAGTAACACGAGTCTCACCCACCCATCGTCGTCTTCCAACGAATTTTCTGCGGTGATTCATTGGATGGTTGATTACCAGTCGAACGTATAGAACTCTCGCGAATTTTTCATAGTACACGTAATACTTTTTCTTCCTTATTGGCCGTCACAGCCCTTCCCCCTATCCAGAGGGAAAATTCAAGCGCTATAAATATTACATTGCTAATGATAAGTATAATGAATATTGTACATAGCCTCGATAGCGAAACAACTTTTCCATTGAACTTGTAAATGATTAAGGAAAAGTCACACGAAACGTTTGACGGACTTGACAGTTTTGATTATAACGTGAAAGTTCTCATGGACGTCACTATCTATAACAGACGTATATTAAGCGAAGCTAAAAGTTTAATTACGAACAAGTATCTTAATGGGAATCGACTTCGTTTCGCGGAAAGTTCATCCAGGTAAGCTTCCTTATCCTCTAAAACGATCTAGGAACAGTTACACAAAGTTCAATTATGTTCGATGAAAAAGTCGATTAAGCTTTATTGTAATTTCGATACAGCTTTCGTCCTGTTTCCTTCGATCGTTTCAAGAATTTTCAACACTACTCCAAATTATATCAGATTCGTATAAAAATGACTGAATATCTGAATTGTCGAATTCTTACCACCTGACGGTACAGAACTTACGTTCATAGTGGCAGGAGTTATAAACGAAATATAGATTCCCAAATTATGTTGAAAAAATCTCCATTATCCTATTTTGAACCACAGTACACTTTCAAATAATGTATACTCTAGTATTATATGTATATTTTTCATTCTACCTACAAAAGACCTGAATCTGATCCTAATCGTATTACGTTGTTTTCACATTACCTTTTTATCTCACCTTTATACGTTACACTTATACATCACTTAGAATATTTAAATACAGTTATCGTCTAGAGCATCAAGAATTTATGGGACGAGATATACAGTCACACACATTCGTTCATATACTTCTGAACTAATAATTAAGTGTACAAATTTCTATGTAAATTCTATTTAAATATTCCCATTATCTATACTTTTATCATACTTTCGTGATAAATTTTTCCTAATTCTGAAACAATATTCACATTTGTCTACGTAATTTGGTCATAGAGAACTAACTGTACGACGAAGGTGAACGAATTATTCGAGCGAGAAATGCCCAACAACTTGTTGATCAGTCGTAACGTGACCAAACACCCTTTGAAATCCATATAATCGATCATCCAGCCGGAAAGAGAATAAAATCCCACCAAACGTTATGGTCACGTGCACCACGGGCGTCAAACGTGGACCCCGTGTTTCTCGCGATACACGTTATCAAGTACCCCCCATGCATACCACGTGTCACGTGTGTACATGTAACGCCTTTATCAACAACCGAAGGATTGCTCGCCCCATCATTCCTGTTCCCGCGCGATATCAATCGTTAAACAATGATTTTCCACGTAACTATCATTTACTCGGAATGTATTGCAACTGGTAAACTAGGTGAAAAAACAATTCCCCTGGGCCTCTAAGTATTATAATTTAACAACAATAAAATATTAATCTCGAATTTGTGCTTTATTCTTTCATCGAAGATCGTGGCTCAACGGTTTGATTCCCGAAGATTCAAGATGGCGTCGAGCAACCCCCTTTGATTCGCACTCCTAATACGAGAGTCTGGCACTCGTACAGCTTCGGGCCTATTCTTCGAACCGTAAACACACGTTCCAATATCGGTTATACACACACAGATGCACACGAGAACGTGAGCACCGTTTCTTTCATCTTCCGAAACTCAGCTTGTCCCGCGAACTCTTTTTCTCAGAGTACCGGTTCCCAGCTCACCTTTCCTCGAACCGTGCAGCGATTCTTTTTCTTTATTTTTCTTTTCTCGGGTAACCCCTCGGACCGACGTAAAAGCCGACTTGGTTACAATTTTATTCGAATACTATGTAACTAGTGGAAAGTAAAAGTATCTGACAATGGAATTTAGGCCTGCAAACGGTTAGAGATTAAATGATTGTTCGCCAGATATCTATTTATTCAAGAAGTATTATTTTATTATAAAAATTGGAATTTCCACGGTTAACCTTCGGAATGACCAAGACGAACTTTCATTTCTGACCAATATCAAAAATCCAAATTGACAATTCTTCGAGAGTTTTAACCTACGTTTTAGAATAGCCTTGAAGCCTGGATCACGAGTGATCCACGTTGGTCATCCAAGGGTTAATCAATGAAAAATGATGAAGTACCTACTTTGTTTATCTTTGTATTTATTGTTCGAAAACTCTTCACCTGAATAATGAATTTACCTGATTATAATTATATAATTATATTTACTGGAAATACAGTAGAACGTGTCGAAGGCAATTTAAAAGATTTAAAAGGTCCTCGTTCTCCACTGCATCTTGCTATTTTAAGAATAACAATAACAAATGAAAATGCATAATTTCACGTTTGACCGGTTCATGTTTGTATCTTCGGGCGTCAGATCTGAGGATCAGAATTACGTCAACATTGTGTATATTATGTAACAGTCAGCTGGAGGTGGGCGAGAAAAATTCGACAAAAATAAACCTTTGGAGAACCTATAACGGTCTCTCGATGCTATACGCGTCGTGCACGGAGTGGGAACAGTATGATTTCAAGTCCGGTGGCTCCCGAAACTTTCGTGGAACGTTACGTCAGTTTTTATTGATCCTTCGTCGATAGAACGACGCTCCTCGGACCGTGTAACGGTAAATACAACCTCTGCGCGTGGCACCTGAATGATAAACCACGCGATATCAATCACTTCGTGCCACGATGGATCGACGAAATATTGTTGCTAACCTGTTACTCGGCGAAGACGAGTTACCTCGTCGTATAAATATGCTTCCTCACTGGGCAAGACGAGTTAACTCGTCTTCTGTCGTTTCTCACGAGCCAACTAAGGAACACTTCCGATCGAAAGATATACAACACATTAACAAATTCCATCTGTCCCTTATCTACAGCTATCTCCGACTTCCGGTTTATGTACATTACGAATCACGATTAAGATTTACGAATCGATCAAACAGATCAAAGCGCTGTACATAATCATCGATGTTAATTTTCGATGATCGATTGAATTGAATCTAATTTCATACCGGTTCAATTGAGTTTCGTCCCGATATTACCGATCGAGACCGATCCGAGCCCCACGAAGGACTGTCAACACGTTTTGTAAATACAGAATTAAAAGGGGAAGGTGACCTGTGATACTGTTGTCGGAGCAACGTTTGCTATAGAAACTGAGCCTGCTTAAACCCCCACCGTCGGAAATTCAACCAGAACGTTTGCGAATCAGGGGTACGATGCATCGATCTGTTTGCAGGAGAACGAACGCGACCATTTAAGTTAAAGGGAACTGGGGGATGTGCGTTGTAACTCAAGAATGACGAATTGTCATGCTACACAAAGCTCGATCACGTACAAAATTTTGAAAATTTCAGTCAGAATTTAACGATGAATGGCCATTCATCGAGACCCCAGAAAATGAAGGTGATCGAAAGTTAATTAAGTAACTTGAAGATCGTTAAGTATTCACTTGTTGATACGGAACGAACCAAAAACCTCCATAATACGCATTTCAAAGTATACATCTCATATGGTGATAGATATATGAAATGCTTGAATATGCAAAGAAAAATTCGATAACAGAGAAACGCGCAGAAAATAGAGTACAGATCAGCTTGACAGTCTCATTCGACGCATTCGACGCGATTTTTAATGCCACGTAACCCCGAACGTGTATCGCTGAGTTTCGAAACTTGCCAATGCATAGGAGACACAAAATTATATTTCTCCATTCGGAATAATAACACATCGTATTCAGAATAAAAAGATACGTTACAACCATGTACCTGTCTAATTTCTCCCATCTCTTAATTATTAGATTAACCTTTTCTACGGAGAAGGATCACCAGAGCCGCCTTATTCCTGAGTCAGGGGGGATATCTTCGTTAGAACCAACGAGGAAAAAGCCAGTTTCCATCGCGGGCGAGCGTATTGTGGCGTAGCGAGGCAGGAAAATCAATAGGCCACGTGGGTCACCGACCGGGTTTTCCGAACCCGGGGGGCTCTCTCATCCTACGTTCGCGATAACTTTCCACAGGATCGTGCACTGACGTCAGAAAAAGGACCTTCGTGACAATGGAAAAAAAAAGAAAGAAAAAACCACCACCTGAAAATGCTGGTCCGCCATTTTGACGAAACGGAGGGGTGGTTGGCTCCCCATTTAGAACACACACGAAACAGGATGAGTAACTTACATCATACCCAAACATTGATTTAATTCAATCATACCCTCGAACAAATCATTATTCAGAATACTTTTAGTTTGTAGACTGTGGAAGTTTACCCAAATTTACAATTTTATAAGTGAATTTTACTATACTCTTGAATAGTACTACTACTTGACACAAACATCATCCCTGCCAATACAAGACGCGAAATCAAACAAATCCCAATTCTACCTACACTCTGACGAAATCCTGAAGTCCTCTAGCTCCATCCCTTCTCTCACAAACCATACAACAAACGAGTACACAAAAATTCCTCACGTTCTACCAGCGAAATTACACGTGTTACTTTTCTCCCCCATAGCCATTTATGCCCACTGGCGAAGATGCTGTTCCCACCGTTATATTTACAGAGGACACCACACCGCGTCGATCACTCACCCCGTTCCAGATTTGTGTGTGTGTTTCTTTGCTCAGCCGACGAAAAAATTCTCCACACTGGTCACTATCGGTTCGATTACAGGTGTAAATACAATCACCACCACCGTTTGAGAAGGATCGGTTCGGAGCCGGCACACACAGGGGGTTGAACTACCCTCGGAACATCGTTTTCAGTCCGCGTGGTTCGATCTCTGCACACTACTATCCTCTCTTGCTACGATTATTGTCTCAGGTGAGAACGCCACGCGGCTCACTGAAGGGGGGACACGCGGGGTGGATCGTGTGTATGGTATGTACGTATATATACGATCGAAGCACAACGTGTGGAGGACAGTCGAGAGAAGCCACGAAACGTACCGCGCACCAGTCGAGCTCTGAATGACTGTCGTTGTGTCGAACGGCCGTTCCGTTCCGTGGGCTTCGCGCATTATAAACGCACGACGGAACGAGGGCCGGCGCATGTCGTGCCTGTCTCTCTCACACACACACACACGTACACCATGGTTCTCTTTCTTTCTCTGTCCTTTGACTCTTATTGTTAGTGGTGTGATCGTGTCCGTTGTATACGTACACAAAGAACGGTGTATATAAATCATGCTTCGCCACCCTAAACTCTATCGACCGGTCTATCGGTCGTCGTTCCTTCCCGACAATTACCGTCGATGGAGATAGACAATGTCTTTAGGGCTCTGTACGGCCGAAAGTGTCGAGAAGACGCTGTCAATTGTGGGAGAGAACTGTTTTAACCCTTTAAAGGTCACTACTGCACCGGCGCAACACTCGTTTTAAAAGTGCGTCAAATTCTGTCGTTGGTTAATACATTAAATCCTAGATAAGTGTTTGAATGCTCCTTGGCACTGACGAGGAGAGGTTCCCAGGTGTAACGCTGACTTTTTAACGAGGTTTAGCACCGTGATAGAGTTTGGAATTCTGAAGGCAATAATGATAATAATAATATTTATTTATAAATGAGTTATGAACCTTTTAGAACAGTATACAAGTATATGGAAGTTTAGAGGACAAACGAAAAGTTTAGATATACAATGATCCGTAAAGATATACTAGAGTTCACAAAGACTTATAGCAACTGTACTGAAAGTTTAACAAAATTTAAGAAGTTAGATTAACAAATTCCGAACATATCGGAATATGTTATTTTTAGACGAGGAAATCGAAATATGGGAAACGTACACGATAGATTTACAGTGAAATTAAAGTCGAGAAATTCATGGAGAATCGCGTATTGGGAATTTTGAATGCGTTAATTCGATAATATCGAGCCACCCTTTACATGTGCAGACGCACCTGCATCGCACGATGCACGAGCAATCTGTATCGATTCGGTCTATCGGCTGTCTACCGTGGTGTATATACGCTTTCATGTGCGCCCGACCACTCGTTAAGGCACCTCCACCATATTAAACCGCGACGAGGAATAATTAGTCTGCCGATCTTTATGCAAATTCTGATGTTTTTTTTTAGATTCAATCGTTGGAGTGAAATCGTATCAGAGATCTGATCCCTTTATTGAAACGGTTTCCTTACGAAATCAATCTTTAGCAAAGTTTTCACTGTATCATGTTCTGCATAATTATGATGTCGAAATTATTACTAGTAATAATTAGGTACTAAATCGAATAAAAGTCTCTGCTTCGTTCGATATAAACACCCCGCGATCTAAATAATTACAGACGCACACCATTGATGGGTGAATTTACGGTCTGGATAAAATGTTTCGATTTACCGTTAAGGAATCGGAACACTTACTGCCTATTATTCTCTCCGTCGTCTATCGTTCGAATAAAGTTCCACCTATACGTATATAGAGTAACGATCGAAAGTATGGGGTACGATAAATTCGGTGTGCACATCAGCGAAACGTCAACCGTCGTAGATCGGTAATCCGAGGTAATCGTATTACGCTGGTATCGCGACGGAACAGTGTTGTTCTCAGTTGTCCTGCGATTTAACGGCATTAAACGGAACACGTCGTCACCCCGAAAAATCGATGGGTCTTCGTTAATCGAAACCCTGTGAGTTCGTTCACCTCCGATTCGTGGCCATTTGACGAAAGAGCAGACGGTAAGTATGAACTTATCAATGCCTTGGAACCGAGGATCGATAAAGCCTATTGGAAAAAGTAACCTACCGTGACGTAATGTAATAATAATATCTTTTTAATTCTTATTTAAAAGAAAATTAGTCAAAATCCTTGTTCAAAGGCCAAAGTGATTAACCCCATTTTTTTTTTAATCACTTTGAATTTTAGCGCCAAAACACCTGATCGGTGCTAAACGTTCTATATTTAAAATAAATTTCGAATATAAATTTTGTAGAGTTATTCAGACAAATCAAAAAGCTTTTCGTTAATAGGCTTCTGGATAGAACAGTGGTAAAATCAAGAGGATTTCACGAATGGTCCCCTGGATAACAGCACTCGTGACGATTTATGAATGAACTTTATTTGAGCAACTCCCTGGCTGACGCGTATTAACTTGATCTGGAGTAACGACGCCCGCGAACTTCCTCGAACAACCGTTAAGGATCACGTACGTGCTTTCCCGGCATTTTTCCGTGGAACTCGGTTCTTCCTGGACCGATGAGACAGGGAAACACCGGATCGAACCCAATTAAAATTAATTAATATTGTCGAACTGCTCTACCAGTCTTCCCTTATAAGGATTACAAAAGGAGAACACGCTAACAGAATCCAAGTACTGTAATTCATCGGAGAAGAAGCTAATTTTGTGATGGCAATCCAATTTATCGTTTACGTAATAATATCGTATAGAAAGATAAGTTCGTTTTAAAATCGTGCATGTACTTCGACGTCTTTCCTTTACGTAAGGGAAAATAGAGATGTTTATATTCGATCTAATAAACATTATCACCCATCTTGTTTTTCTCCCGGTTAAGAGTAGATTGCGGAAGTTTATGCAAAATCAAAATTTCAGATACAGATATCTGAAGATCTAGAAGTAAACTGCGAAAGTTTATGCAAATTCAGAACTTTAGACGTTAATTTATAAACATGAAAATCAGATCGAAATTTAGGTCCTGTACTAAACGTCTTGTTATGTGATAGTAATATATAAATATTATTAAACTTTAATAAAATCTTCATTTTAATGCAATTTGCATGTTAAAATTTTCTATAAACGCATAAACATCCATAATCGAGTCATAAGTTATAAGTAACATTTCATTCGCCGCGGAAGACGTCGAATAGAATTTCGATCGATTGCGAGATCGAGATCGCAACCTTTTACCAAGTCGATCGTAGAAACGATATCCTCGTGTATATATTATTCTGATATTATGTATACACGTAATTCGTTATTCGCGGATTGCACAATATTGTTCCTCCAATTACTTCACGATGACCTTACTGCAATGAATGGAATCGCGTGTGCTGTTTCGTTTGCCAAACGAACGAACAATAATAGTAACGAGACAAAAAAATCTGTAACTATCAACGAATTCAAACGAAGAAACTCCGTGTACCGCCAGACTAGATTGTATGTGTATTCTAATCAAAAGTTTCGAATTTCCAGTTTGCAATCGCTAATATTATTATTAACAAATCGAACTTTTGCGAAACGTAGACGTTATTTTCTGCAGAAAAAAAGACGAAACTCAAGGTTACACGTGGCACTACATACGAGTACCGTCTGAAGTTGTCTCCGAATCGTACGCACAAAGAACGCTGCAGCTGGGACTGGTCCAAGGGTCCTGGACGAAATTAGACAAAAGGGAGGAGAGACGCGGGTATAAAAGGGTGCAAGATCGCCTCAACGAAATATAGGAGAAAGGGAATCGTCCCGAGTTGTCCCTTGAAAGTCCCCTCTGGCCCAGGTGCTCGTGTCCCTTTATCCCCCTGTCACGATGTTCCCTCGACTTACGCCGTGAACATAACTGCGTCTTGGACGGTGCCATTTTCGCGGCGAAATACACCAAGAATCACGAAACATTCCATTAACTTCGATAGAATTACTGACGAAGAATTATTTGTCTTACTACAAAATAATACAGATAATGTACATATTTTTGCTGTGAATGATAACATAAGGTACCGGAGTAATATCGTTTGAAAAGCCGCAAGAACAATGGACAATTCCTTCTTGCCCCTCAGTACAAAGAAATTGACGAATTACATTACACGATATGATACTACATTTAATAATCGATTGTACCCCTGTTTTTTTTTTTACGTCGTTTCTCTTAAAACCAGTACTCGTAACTTGCTAATTTAAACGTTTCACAGGAACACACGTTATCGGTAATGACGACTAATAATGAAAGGCACGGTGAACGGGTGTGTGATTAGTTCTTCAGTAAATGACTAGCTTTGGTAGAGCTAAAAAAAGGAAAAAATACGAATGGAAATAAGTAAATCATAGTGCTTTATACTCCGAATCGAAGACTATAGTCACAATATTTCAGTTCTGAATCGAATGAAACGACCATAATGTTAGTTTTAGGAAAAGAATAAGGTAAATTATACTACCCAGGATTCTCCCTGACCAGGTCTTAAGGATAAAGACCATTCAAGAAGATGCAAAATATGTACTTAAATTTCCTATGTAACAACGATTTGCTAAGAAAACCGCGGAACACAGTTCACCAAACCACCAGCGTGTTATATCACAATTATATGAAACGTGTCATTAGTTCCGTAATTTGCATCACGGAGTGAGAATGTTGACTGCGTTTCAACGACTGCCAACTTGTATTCTAGAATGATCATAAAGAGATTAATACACGTCAACGTTCCTCGAGCCCCTGAAGTCAATTATTCGAAGAAAAAAACAAAACTTGAATTCCCTCACGTTCAACGAACAAAGATCCAACGAATTACTTTTTTACCTATTCTATACAAGAAAAAAGGATCATCTATTTTCGGCTCGACAGACACCATTTCGAACCGCTACGTCCGCAGAGAGAGAAATCTGGAGAGACGGCTTGTTGCGTGGGCGATCCGTTCAATGACGTCACGGAGAATCAATACAGAACACTCCCAGGGATCCTACGTCACTGATGACACCCTTCATCCTTGCTAGAGCGAATCGAAACGCGAGGAAACCAGGGTACCGTGTCGTCCCTGCGCCAATTCTTTGGGATGATCTGAAAACGCTCCTCTAATGCAGTTTCCCGGCTCTATGGTAGGCAATGAACGAGCTGTCTGTGTTACAGGGTAAATGTAATTTCTCTCCTTCAATTGCTCCCTATTCGACTTGAAACGTCGTGAAGATTCAATGTTGTCGAAGAACTGCGCCAGAGCGACTTGTGGCCTTCTGAGTTGGGAATTGGACTTCCTCGACTCTGGTGAAACGATTCAGGCCCAGCTCTTGAGCTGTATTCATATCACAAAGACAAGAGCAAATGTGGGAACTTCTTTCTTTTCTTAAGTATCATATTGGCCTCAGAATAAAATAGAAAATTCGTTGAATCTAACGAAAGTTTTGTTATTTACTGTATTTTACAGAACCCTGTAGACTATAAATTCATAAAATCCGCAGCCTACATATCACTTCTACCAGTCAGTTCGTCGGCATCTCTTTCGCAACGTCACCATTATCGTAATTTTTTGCGCGATCGAGTTTCCAATATCCATGTGATCATTAGGCTTGCTGTGTCATAAAACACAAGGAAAGTCATTAGGATCTACTATATCCTGAGACTTTCGCCAAAAGGATCTCACGAAATCGTGCTCAAATCATTTCGTATGAAAACGAAAGGCATTGAGTAATACCTCCTAGCTGTTCTGGATACAATACAGATCTTCAGCTTAAGTGTGGTCCCTGAACGTAGGTCAGTTTCGTAGCCGCCGTAAACTAGGTTAAACGATCAAAGGATTTATTCAGGTAGCTCCTTCAAACGCGCTAATCGATTGACTCTCGAAACACGAGATGAACGATGTATATTACGTGAGAGGAAGTGAAAGTCACTTTTTTTCCTTCGTACCTGGGGAATAAATTATTTTCTCTTGATCCTCGATAATTCCACGTCCGTTGGAGTGGTTCCTTTCTTTTCTGTCGATTAAACGTTCTTTCGACACGTTGATTAGAATGGCTCCTGGAAACGAGAAACGTGTCGTGGATGATGGAGAGAGGGATACGACCCTTTGGCTTTCTGCGATAACAATTTCACGAGGCGCTGGTCCATCAGTGAAGGTGGACAGTTCGTCGCTTCAGTTCTTAACTGTTCTATCTCCATTAGTTTCTAAACTGAGAAAATTGAGTTTAAAATTTACGGTGTTTAATATTATAGAAACAGAAAAGCAATAAAATAATCAGACACGCTATAATATCATCTACTGAATAGCTATTTATTACAATATGTAAAAAAATTTTATCTTACTATCAACATAAATTTTTAATCGTTATTAGTATTTGGAGATACAATCATTAAGAAAAGAAAAACTTTCAAAATTTCGGAGTTAAGACTTAAAAGAATATTTGTCGTTTTCTCGGGTGAATTGCCTTTATATTATGGTGAATTTGTATTCCTTGGACCAATGACACGCACGTAATTGTACGGGATCTTCTGATACTTGAATTTGCGTTTCATGTTCTCCAATATGGCGGACGGCTTGGCGGTAATCGCCCAAAGACTTGCGAGAAAAATTCTGATTATCAATATTGCAAACACGTGTGTTGCTTTGATAAATGGTAGTTTCGTCGTTCGATCGCACTTTACAGTGATAAATGGTGACAGTTTTTTTTCCTCGGAAGATTAATAGCTACCAGTTTCCTATGCTTTAATGTTCACAATCAATGGGAATTGTAAAGATTTGTCATTAGTTTTACATTACTACCGGCAACGAAAAATTCTTTTTCTTCCATCAGTACGCCAATCCAACGATGTAAACAGAGAAAAACGAAAATATTTATAAATGTCGTCGTGATTTTTGTTATTTAAAAAAGAAATACAAATCACTTTCATTCGATCAGAACTCAATTGTTTGATTTATTCTATTTATGTATCTCGCAATGATAATCTTGTAACATCAGACGCATGCTGCCATCTCACGATAGTCATCGAAACACTACGCTACATCAGTGATGTCGCCAGCTGAGCCGTGATGATCTTTTACCTATGCACGTGCACTATGGATCTAACCTCATTGTATCGTTGATATAAAAAGAAATAGTATCAACAAAAGCATCACAATATTGGTCACCATAAGTCCGAAAAATTTCTCATAAATCGATACTGCGTAACTCGACGAAAAAATGGGCAAGCTGGGGCCGCGTTTGAACAGCAGAAGGAAGGCGAAACGCTGGCCGAAGGGGCAAAGCTCTAGTTCTAATCCAGAAACGGTAAAACATCGTGAACAAGCGGCATGGATGTTTTTCAAAGATGTCTCAGGTTTGTCGAATTACAACGTAACGTTTTCGTACAATCTCCATTCGATTGCTCGATCCAAACATTACATCCTTATTACAGCCAAACCTGGTTTGACGAAGGAAGATTTGAAGAAACACGATGCTATTCAGGGTATTGGTCCCCAGTTTGAGAAACTTGATCTTGATGAAACTCACTCAGAAACTGGTACAGAAAATACAACTAATACGTATGATACATTTGCTACTAACTATAGCAATTGCTCCAATGTTTCGTTCAATAGGCAAGTAATTAGATTTGATTTGAGTAAATATTGTTGGGAGTTGAATGTAGCAATATTATTAATATTCATAAGGCCTATGAGGACCATGAACTATGGGATGTACATATATAACATTCTTACGAGTCCAATTTTTATAGATCCAAGAAATTCAGATTCCAACAGTATTTTTATATTAAATGCAATCAGAATTGAAAATTGCTAACTGACTGATCTTTCAGGTTTCTAAGTCACTTCCAATCAAATTCACTTCTACACAAAGAAATGTTGGCTGTACTCTCAGCAGTTACAGAAGTAATAAAGCAAAATGGTGGAAATGAATCTTCCACAGAATATTTTGCTGCATTGGTATGCATAAAATATTATTTACATCTCAAAAATGTGAAAACTGATATTGAACATTGATATTTCATAGATGAGCACACTGGAAGCAATAGAAACAGACACATCAATTGCAGCTACCCTTTCACTGTTAGGAATGGGTTTGAAAACTGTACCCAAGAATGTTCTAAATATGCAATTCGGAGCGGCTAGTAAAATATTCATGAATATTCTTGAAAAATACGCGACCATAGGAGACTTCTTAATATTACGTCATGTATGATCGTAAAATTAATTCTATGTTAAATTCCAAAGAATATTATTAGTAATTGTAATTTTGTTTTAGTGCATTCATTGTTTATGTCTGCTTCTTCGTGCACTGGATTCGGCCTCATGGTCAGATTCATCCACCATGCAAGTGTTGGATGCCGTTTTGGCGTTCACTACGCACAGTAAACCGAAAGTACGGAAAGCGGCTCAACACGGAATATGTGCCATGTTAAAAGGTACATTATAGTTTATATAATTACATAAATCTGAAACATATTTAAAAGAATTCAGTAAACTTAAATATTTTATGGCGCCTCGTTATTACAATGCAGGAATCACGAACAGTAACAATCCATCGCATTATCACCCTGCTTCACCCCAAGTCGCGAAACATTGTTACAATCAATTGCAAACTGGTACCAAGCCCGGAGGTGTTACCACTGTACTTCATATACTGAGTTTATTGAAGGACATTACTCATCTGTTTACAAAACCACACGTGAAGGTATTTATTAAAAACTTATTACGCATTATTCATGTTCATTACATAACTAAAACATTCTTCTGATTTTCAGCTAATTTGTGAAACATTGCTAAAACTTATGTCGTTGAAAAATGTTCTGATAACATCGTGCTGTTTTCAAACTTTCCATGGTTTGTTCGTCTCTCGGCCCTCGGAAGCTATTCTACCAGCTCAAAGGAACGCACAGCTGATTACTGCTCTCTATGATTACCAGCCACCCGCTACCGACTCACAACCAACTCTTGCATGGCTTGCAGTTATGCAAGAGGGTCACTTAAATTTGGCCCAGTGAGTGTAAATTGTAAATTTTATTTTTATATTTTTAGTTTCATTGACGTTCAATCGTTGTGTATTGTGTTCACAGAAATACTCTGAATTTGTGTGCAGCTATTCTACCAAAGATGCTGGACAAATGTGTAGAATTGTGGCTATCAGATAGATCCGAAATTATCTCTGGTACATCGCATACAATTAAAATATTATTGCAGGATTGTCTTGGCAAGATGTGTGAAAATGCAGACGAAATTAGAAAGTAAGAATAAGAATACTTGTGTTATTATAAACATTTTAGTGTGTATTCTTACAAAGTAACATTATTTCATTTGTATAATTGTTCATTTTAGGTATAAAACTATAATTGATCAAGTAATTGTCATAATGCACAAAGCGATGGGATACCAATACTTGGAAGCTTGGTATTATATTTTTCACTTAATAGCATTACTCTTCCAGGTAATACTCAATTATCCTTTAGTGTCCTACTGGTTGCATTTAAGTATAATATTGTCTATTATTCTAGATAACTAGTAAATCCAAAAGTTCTAAATTAATCGATATATTGAAAGGTCTAGCTGATTTGCGCGATCATTATAATTTCACCTCGAAAAATGATGCTGAGTATGCTATTGGAGCTGCAATAAGGGCGTTGGGCCCAGCAATTGTAGTAAATTACATTGCCATGAAAGTAAGTGACATTTCTAATTATTATAAGATGAAAACTTCGCGCCTCTAATATGAATTATTTCTTCGTAGGTGTCAGACAATGAAATCAATTTAAAGAGAACTTGGCTACTGCCATTACTGAAGGACTGCATAATGGAAGGATCGTTGTTCTTCTTCATGAACAAATTATTGCCGTTAACGATGTTATGCGAGTGAGTGACTTCAAAATCATCCCATTTAGTAGAAAGATCTATATATAGACTATTATAAAACGTAATGTATTTTAATTTTAGGAGAAAAGTTACTGAACCAGTTGGCGGGAAAACTTACGAATTTTTGGTTGCCCAAATATGGAGTGTTCTGCCAACTATATGTCAGAATGCCACTGATGTGAAAGACAATTTTGGGGTACGTGTTATGAATCGAATAATAAACATGTATTACTAAAACATTAATTACATGAATATTGTTTAGACTATTGCTAAACTGTTGGGAATTACTTTTAACGAGAAAAAAGATTTACGCCTGTACGTAATGTCCGCCTTAAGGAAATTAATTACTAAGGCTGTAGAAGACGATAAGAAAGAAGACATAGCAGAGCTTGCGAAATTTGCAAGAAATTATTTACCGTCTTTCTTAAATCTATACACGACTAAGCCAAATGGAACTGACGAAGAAGGACATCAACTCGCCGCGTTTGAGACAATTAAGGTAATCTATGAATATTTCTTTACAGATGAAATTTAATGGAAACATGTTTAAATCTATCTAAAGTTATTTAAGATTAATCTAGAATCTCTTATTTTGTAGACATATCTTACTATTGCAAACAAGGAAATAATACACGAATTGTTTGATCGTGCAATATGTAAATTAAGGGAACCGAATGCCGACGACTTTTTCAAAGAAAAGGTTCACGACATAATAAGATTATTAACCGAATACACAGACATTGATAGATTGAAGGCTTTCTACGAAATGTGTGTGCCGTCCCTCAGAACGAGTTCCAACATGAAAGAACAGAAAAAAGCATACAGGTAAATTTACTCGTTGTGTCAAAATACATTTCGCAAACAGTTAAGTTACACTTTTAACTGTATTTCTTCAGATTTTTGGAAGAGACATGTGGCAGTGAAAAAGAAACATGCAAAATCTTTGTGCAACAACACAGGCGTGAATTACAAAAATTATTTATATCTACAGCGACGGAAGTTGCTAAACCAAGCAGAGGAGTGAGTATCACGATTTCTTTGGATAATGAAAATCTTAATAGTAAAATAAACTATAACATGTCATTTATTTTAATTAGGCTCGATTAAGATGTTTGATTCACTTGATCAAAGCTCACCCGCAACTGGAAAAAACTAAATTCTTAGAAGCTATAGTACCTGAAGCAGTCGTGTACGTGAAAGATATGAACACAAAGTGTCGAACATCCGCCTATGAACTTTTGAACACTATTGCAGGAAAATTCTTAGACCATCCTGAACACCTTAAGAATTACGTGAATATGTTAATGGTTGGTTTGGGAGGCGCTCAGAAGTATTGTACCGCCTCCATGTTGGCACTTGCATGTGTTACTTATCGTTACAATGGTAAGAAGCAATTTTACAGTGGAAGCAAATTGTATGATTCAATAATTATAGATATAATTAATTATTGTAACAGGGTCTCTTGGAGTGGACACTATTAAAGAATTATTGGAGCATGCCTGCAGGCTGGCTGCAAGTCCTACAAGAGAGATTACAGAAGCAGCATTATCTTACATAATGGTATACATTACGATAATGCCATCCCCCGTCGTTGCGTCCAATTTACCTAAATTGGTGAGTATATATATAAGACTAATAATTTGCAACATCCTGGCTCTCAACATTTTCGAATAGCTTCAATAAAAAGTATTGATCAATTGCAGATGGAAGCTTTAAATGAAATGCTCGACGACTGCCACAGGCATTTCAGACAGAAAGTGAGAGATATCCTAGTGAAATTACTAAGGAAATATGGAATGGAAACTATCTCAGGCATGATACCTTCGTCCAATACAATGTTGCACAAGAGATTAAAGAATATAAGAAAACTAGAGGAAGCAAAGAAAAAGAACAGAGAATTGAAGAAATTGAAACAACAGGACAAGGAAGAAAATGAGTTCAATGCAAAGAGGAGACCGAAGAGGTAACATTAATTTCGAGTCAAAATTGTAACTACAATTGTTCAAAGTTATTACTGCTGTTTTTCATTGATACACACAGCATAGAGGAGATATTGGCCGACAGCGAAGAAGAATTCGATGGGACAGAGAACGAAGAGCCAAAGAAGAGTAAAAAGCGTACGTCTAGGAAAGAAGCTTGGATTCAAGAAAACGAGGAGATTGTTGATCTTATTGATCCCGCCGCTGCAAGGAATATATCAAGTAAAATTGTAGAATTTTTATAGCGCTACGACAATACTTTTAATGTAAAATGTTGTTTCTTCAAATTAATAATACTTCATTTTTGTAGCGACACAACCCGGAGTTCTAAATCCGAAAGCAGCAGAATTGAAGACGAAAGATCGCGGATTTAAAACTGCAGCAGATGGACGTCTCATCATCACAGATGATAACGGAATAGATAAAGACGTAGAAACTAAAAAGAAAAGGAAAATTCCATTTCCTTTACATAGCGATTCAGAAGATGATTATGGTAAAATGAGAAAAGCTACATTCAAAAATATAATCAGTACGAATGGAAAGAATACATCTGAGAGCTCATTTATGTTTTCAGAGAATGAAGAAGATGCTCAGTCTACAGTCACAGAACAAGGGATGGTTAGGAAGCGTACGCATAGCAACAATTCCGATAATGTTAACGTAAAAAGTTCAGCTACATCGAGATATCAAGGTAATATATTTATGAACATATATTTGTCGTGTGATTGATTTTCATCTAACAAATGCTTATTATTCATAGCTGGAGGATCAGGTATTCACAGACCATTAAAGAAAAGAAAACCAAATCAAATGCCTGGAATGGAATACAGGGCACAAAAAGCTGGAGGTGACATTAAGAAGAAGGGCAAACCAGATCCATACGCATACATACCTTTGACAAGATCAGCATTGAACAAGAGGTAATTAATAAGATTGTAAATTTCATCTAATTATACTCATTAGTCATAAAATATTAATGTTCTTTTGCAGGAAGAAGAAAAAGAATGCAAGCAAATTTCAGGGTATAATAAAAAATGCAACGAAGGGAGCACAAATCGGTATGAAACATCGAAAACAGAATTGAACATAGTTTGTTAATATGGTGAAACAAATCAAAAATGAAAGTAATCATGTTTGGAATGCATTGAGCTACGCGCGTTGAGATCCCGTTCATTAACAAAGGAACGTGTACAAATTACATAATTTTAGTTCCGAGTGTGGAATTGTAAACCTCTTATCAGGTTCAATCAAGCATGGATTTGTTTTCACTAATCCATAATGAATGTATATTATTATATCATATTGTTAATAAATATATACATTTGAGCTACAGAAATAATTTTCTAAAATAAAATTCTGTCAAAGATCAAATGCTCAAAGTTTCTATAACCAATAGAAAATAATTTAAGAATAGTGGTATTAAAATAGCAATGGATCCCCTTAATGTCTGCAAGAAGAATAATTATCCAATGTTTAAAATTTAATACTACTACTAAAATTGAATATTATTTCCTAGAGTAAAAATAATATAACTATGAGTGCAGTCGAACTCACATTTCTTGTACATTAACTCCTCTTAGGCAGCATGCTCTCTAATTCTCCAGTTTCACTCATTTCCTTTACAATATCCAATCCTCCAATCAGTTCTCCGTTCACATATAACTGTGGATATGTTGGCCAATTACTGAACTTTTTCAGTCCTTCCCTAATATCATTGTCTTGCAGTATATCAAACGACTGATAATCAGCTTTATAGGAGTCCAAGAGGGAAACTATTGTTCTAGAGAATCCACAACGAGGATTGGCAGGATTTCCTTTCATAAATAGCATGCAAGGTGCTTGGTTTACTAATTTCTTTAACCTATCGTTGAGGTTCTCTTTCAGTTTACATGCCTCCACTGGAACTGAGTCTTTATTAGCACAGTGCTGCTTCACTTTTTCAGCTATGGCAGAGGGATTTGCTCCATCTATTCTGTCAACTATAGTATCATTTTTTGCCAGAATTACTGTCGGCACTGCTGTGATACCAGCTTTCAGAGACACATCAGGTACTTTCTCAGCTTCTATCTTAGCAAACCTGATCCCTTTGTACTGAGCCAGTTTGCTCATTTCACTGATTACATCATTTATTTGAGAACACTGATCAGCCCATGGTGCATGGAAATGAATAACTGAAAGATCCAGGGACCTAATGAGATGAAAAGCAAGGCCAATGTAATATATGTTAAAAAAGTAGGAAATCCGGAATTTGTATAAGTCAGATACTAAGATCAAGCAACAATATTATCTCCCTATTGTATTACATCATTAGAAGATGTTATACACAACCGCGGTACCAAAGTCTTACTGTTTTATCAGAAACGTATATCTAATAAAAACTCGTGACTTACGAACCGCGGGGAATTTCCATTCTATATAAATAAAGACATGATTGTTATATTGTCGACGCAGGAAAAGAGCAAAGCTATTCGAATCCCCTAACAGCGGACAACATACTAGTGAAGTAATAATTGTAATCAAGTGAAAATACTTTCAATAAAATGAGACTTTAATGCACGATATGTCAATAATAGAATCATAAGGTTATGACATCTCGTTAGGACCAAAATTTAAAAGAACGGTTACTCACTTAACGTAATCCTCATATTCTTGTTGGGAATTAAGATCGGTGACAGTCATTCTGCCACGGTATTACTTTCTCGCTCTGATATTAAACACGCGTTATAAACAAAAAACAAGACCTCATCAACTATCGACTCTCCCCGGCGACGTCTACGCGACTTTTATTATTTCCCTGATGGAGGTTTTCTGCCGTCTATGAACCACTGCTTCGGCGCAGAAGCTCACCAATCTTTGTCAAGTTATACTACGTAGATGTTCCCGCAAAATCATGAATTGTATGCAGCAATCAGCTCGGTATTATCCTCGGTTTACGATATTTTACAGAGGAAAAGTATCGTAAAGTATCGTGAACCAAGGATAATACCGATTGCCCAGGTCTCACCACGTGGAGATTGCTGCGAATGGAGACCCAAGGCGAATAGATGGAATCACAAGCTGCACATCTATTCACCTTGTACAAATTCTTTTACAATAGCTTAAATTCTAGCAACTTAAACTAAACACAACGCAGCAACTAAAGTTCAAACAACGCAGTTATTTTTTAAACCCCTTCGGCTTTATGACAATCTTTGAGTCAAGAGAAATCTCCATATGGCGTCTTCTGAAAGAGAAACTTGAAAAATTAAAACAGAATATGTTTCATGATTGTGAATATTTCGTTCTGATTAATGAATTTATAACGTGGTAGCTGCAAGTGGAAACCGAATGAGGGTAAATGGAATCACATGTTCCACGTCTACCCATCTTTTACAAATTGGCCTTACAACTAACTTAAATCTTAATATGTACACTAATCCTATTAATATTGAATAATGTAAACTAAACGGGGACGTTCCTTTCTTGTAGTCGTTCTTTCTTCGTATTATAATCTTCGAATGGTGATCTTCGCGTGATGAAAAATCTTCATATGGTGATTTCTGAAGCAGAAATTGCATAAGAAGATTAGAACAAAACATTTTTATAGATTATAAATAATTCATTCAAATGAACTTGTAGGTTGATTGTAGGATGATCCCTGAAAGAGAAACTCAGTGGAGAATATTATTTCAATGGACAGTGTACAATAATCAATAATAACCATTCAATACAATAAAAAAAAATAGAAAAAACAGCGGTGCTAAAACAAGTAAAAAAATAGCAGCCTCGTAGGGCGCTCAACTTGTCCACTCTTTGCATTTCATTTAGTTAAAAGAAAAAACCGTGAGTGGACAATTCGTTTTTCCGCAACACTAATTTATTGAATATAATATAAAAAGATCCCGAGAGCAGCCACATAGGCGCTTATTACTTGCAACACTAATCATTTTCATCACAAAACACGCGATAGGTGCCTCCTTTGTTCGCCACTCTAATTTACTGATTTCCAAAAATCAAAAAATCTCCCGTGCACCTTCACTCTACAGTACGCAACACTAACTTTAGATTGATGCTGTAGTGAACCACTCTTTGAAAGCTATTTCAGCTGCGTTGTGGTTCTGTTGTGGTTCCAGCATTGGGCATTTCATGGATCGCAACACTAAAACAAACCCGACCAATCCATATCGCAACACTAATTCAACAAAAGCAAATGACTACTTGAATCAATCAATGCAGTGACTTTAATTCAACACGACTTTAATTCAAATAAAAAGTATAAGCAATCGCGCTCAGTCATTATCGCAACACTACCCTGAAAATATAAAAATAATCTTAATGCAAACACGACCTCATCATTCGCAACACTATTCTCCAGGCAATTAGGAAGATCAATATAGACAATTTACAACGCTAATGCAACCCGTGATCTATTCTCATCCGCAACACTAATTCAATCCGCGATTTTTCCCAATATTGCTGGTCGTTGGGCCGATATGACGGCCAGTATACAAACTACTACTACAACTACAGGCGAGTACAGTGAAAATATGTAATAATGACTCCACATCCGAAGATGCAGAGCCATTCGTTGCTGCCCTCTTGAGTACACAGTTTGTGCTGGGCCTCTTCTTTTCTTCGGCAGTCCGCCCACCTGAAACCCTCAAGCTGCTCGGTTGTGGACGACCAACAGAACTCGCAAGAGTCTGCATGATCGTACCACGAGTGCGATCGAGCAGGTCGTTCGTTTCGACAATCCTATCCTTCCGACCGCGACCGCGACGACGACCCCCTTGGGGTTCGCCGAATTTGAAGAATCGAAATCGAAATCGGAAGCAGACAGCATTGCTCTATCTGGTCCAGTTTCGAATCGACGCTACAAATTATCCCGGTAGCAGGACTACCACGCGAAACCTACGCGAGCCTACCCGAGCCTACCCGAGCCTACCCAATCAGAGAATGTGATAGCCTGCCCCGGCCCCTACCTACTTACAGTCTAATCGTACACATTCACAAACCAAAAAATATGCTACCTACCTACCTAACCTTATATTTAAAAAGAATTTGGCAAAAGACAGATTCTCACCAACGCACAACACTCCACGGTTCTCAAGCATACGCCCGGGTGCAATAACCTAGAGAGGACGTCCCGGGACGCCTCCGACACCCGAACGTGATATTCAACTTGCACACTCTAATAGGTACGTACCATTTTCCTGAAATCGACTGGCAGTGGCTAGCATCCATTGCGAAAATAGAAAAATTTTCTAAGCAATATATATATGTATACTTGGTATACTTTATATCGATTACGTGTTAATTTTCTCATCTGATAGCGAGGTACTTTAAACCGGTACATATTCCATGGAAATATTATTATAGACATTGTATGAAGTAATGGAATATGTACGACCGATACCGGAAATTGTTCCAAGGAACAATGACAGATGAACTGTTAATTGATGGAAATATAAACGACGCAATTCCACTGCCTAACCACACACATAAGTGGAAAATACGCCGTGCACGGTAAGCTAACGCATTGCCAGTCGCATAGACATGATATTATTATATGAAATCAAGTCATCGTTCCCCGTTGCTCTCGCCCAACCAAGTAGCACCTGGGCACGTGAAAGGGTTCGAGCAACGAACACGGAATAATTATCCTGAAAATCCTAACTAAAATAATTATTACTTTTTGCTCTTCTAACGGGCTACTTCTCTTTGATTCTTTTTCATTTCATTTTGCAATAAAAGTGAGTCGACTTTGTATGAATAAAAATTGAAAATCAAAGATTGACTATTTATTAATATTGTAGAATTTAATTATTAAGACACTAAGCAAGACTCTGCAATTAGATAAATGACTCTACATATTGAATAACCCTCGGGCGATCCCGTCGTCAAAGGCAACGTGAGACATAACATAAGTGTAACAAACATGTCACTTTGACGCAGAAATCTACCCGTCGCGAAATGCCTTCTTGTACATGATCTGTAATATCATATTTATTCAGAACTTTACGGTCGAGCTTAATCCAAGTGTACCAAAATACACTATTTAATTTTTATTTCTGTCTTCAAGCAACGTGGTAGTACGTATTTCTGATATGATTCAGTACAAAAATATTAATCTCAAAACTTCTTCACAGTAAACTGATATATTATATACTGTATTCAAATAGTAAATAAATTTAAATTATATTCATTTAGTTATTTGTCTACAAATGACGGTATAACTGTTGAAAATAATAATTAACAGACTAACGAGTGAAAAAAAATTTTATTAAAATACGAACTATCACAAAAAATTAACTCTAATACCAAAGGTGTCCAAATCCCGCCACGAGCTACAAGCAATTACAAGCTTCCCTTCATAGGTTTCGCTGACTCGAGCGAGTCAATCCAAGTCCCATAGTCAGGGTACCTCCAGAGGGAAAGAATGCTGCTCGCAAGAGTAGATGGACACCCCTGGGTCTGTCCTTAAAGGACAGGATATAAATACTCATTCCTTCTGAGTATATACGTCTACCACACAAATATGTTTGTGGAACACAATACATGCTGGTGAAACACAGTAGTACCTTCCCTGCATTTAACGCTCACACTCCATTAAAGTGGTCGTGAGTACACGCTAGTACGTCTCATTATCTACCCGTGTACGTAACCGTATGCGTTCTTTGCCATTGGCAACGAAAGCACCAGCCACGATAACTGGAAATCGCAATGCACTTTTGAATGGTCATACATGCACAACGTGTTAAATTGTTCCATAACACGCGGTTTTTCACTAGGTCGTGCATATCGATGCACAGGTGACATAACTTAATACGTCTTCTTTTTATGCACCGATACTTTATCGCGATTCCCAGTACACGTGTTCCATTATTTCATGGAACTTGCAAATACGAATGATACCTTTGTGTCTCGCGACACTGGTTCCGGCATTTGAAACGTGCTGTCGCGTCTCGTGGTATTGCGCTAACTGATATAACATACCTATCCAAGAAGGCACCACCACGTTTTCCCCTCTATTTTAAACATACCGGTGTGGTTTCCGTTTTTTCTACTCTATATTCGAATCTACCGTTGATATTTATTTCACACATTAATAAGTTGAATATTATTATTTTAATCAGCTGACCATTATTTATAGGCCATTGTGAATTTATTGTATTTTCTATGTTCTGCAATTTTCCTTACGTAGATCGTATTTCGTTCTTACATTCATAAATGATATCAAACGACTGTATTAAAATGACTATACTGAAATTATTGCACATATCATCATTACATTACTGCATTTTCTAGTGAAATAAATAACATACTACCACGTTCTCAATATATACTCAATTAATAAAAAAATAACAACTGTTTAAACAATAGAATGATCTCTATTGAAATATCCAAGATTAATATCTCGTGTTAAATTGAACACTTAACGAAAGTACATCATAACCAATGTGATTTCGTTTGTATGATGTTCGCCTTTAAGCGGAACATTACATATTCAACTCGTACTCTTTTAATACAAAATAGTTATGAATTATATTACTAATAATAAACGCGGCGTACAAGAAGACCTTAACCTATGAACTAAGAAACACAACAAATGAATGTTACTACTCGCGGATATGCAATCGTACGATTGCATATCCGTGTTCACTGTACTCGCCAAAAACACGTATACAACCAGTCGCCCGTGCCGTTTCGGACCAATCGTCCTACGACATGATTGGGAACTGGAGGAATAAAAACATTCACTCACCCGATGACTGAAGAGCTCCCTTTAATA